TTTAAGACAAGTTGGACTATCAAAGGCTTGGACCATTTTCTATTTCTCTACAAATCAATCTAGTTGCATATCGTTTACATCTACCAAAATCAATAAAAATCCATCGAATATTCTACATATCTCTTCTTGAACCATACAAGACAGTGGACATACCAAGAAGAAGACAAGCTCCACCTCCTCCTATAGAAGTGGATAATAATGAAGAGTTTGAAGTGGAAGAAGTTGTAGATTCAAGGCGGCGCCAAAATAAATTAGAATATCTTATCCATTGGTGCGGATATGATATTAGTGAACGCACATGGGAGCCAATAAAAAATCTTGTAAATGTAGCAAAGGTGGTGGAGGCTTTTTATCGATGACATCCATCAAAATAAAGATGAAAACCTTTCTTATAAAAGAAACAAGATCTAAGCAAGATAAAATTCTACTTTCAATCCTTATTTGTAGCTTCTTTGTAGTTGTGACGCTAAGGAGATAGAGAACCAACAACCAGTGGATTTGACTCAAGAGCCTTCATTTGTTGACCTATTAGATGAGACATTACGTTTGTCACAACCTTTAAGACGATGCAATCGAGATGAAGATCTTCAAGAATGACATGTTCTTCCTCGAATAGATGGCAAGATACAACTCGTTTGATATCACGACCTTGGAAGGGACTCCCGATGTTTGGTGATTTTACTAGAGGTAGGAACAACTCCTAATGATATTCCAAATGTTTTATTTGAAAGAAGTTATGAAGGCCTCAACAACAATCAAATAACTTGGTGGTCTTCCTACCATGGTATAGGAAACTACCAATGGTTGAAAGGCCCTATCAATCATCTTCGAAGAGAAGAAAGATTAGAGTATGTGGCAAATATGATTTGTCGCATCATAGATTTTCTCAACATATGATGACCGCTCCTCGTGGAACTCATCTCTAGAAGGAACGATATGGTCACAGACATACTCATGTAAGCTACTAATTACATATATAAATAAGTAGAAGTAAGTAAAAGTAGATAAAAGTAAGTTAATTCTATAGTATTTAATATGAAAGCTTCCTAGAAGCTTCATAGATGCTGCTTTGACTTCATATGTGTCTTTAATTGACTTTTTGGATTAGAAACATGGTCAACAAGTTGGTCATGTGCCACACATATTATTAGCTTGAAGACCATGCTAACTATGTGGCCCACACATAGAAAAACTTGCCTTGTAAGTCAAGGCAAGTGTCATACAAAGTCAACACATATTGGAGGTCCTATAGAACATCACCACGTAGCCCCTAATTAGATAGTATATATAGAGATATGAGTGAAGCCTTCTTCACTCTTATCAACTCCTTTCTTATTTCCACTCTACTTTCAAGAGTCGTCATATTTTTTAGTCTTTAGCAATAGTCATTCTAGTTCAATATATTATCACTTTTGAGTGACATCTAAGTATTTTCGAGTGACACAAGAGTGTATTGAGATTATCTTTCTTTGGAGTTTATTTCCTTGATAGTTTGGTATCACGACTTTAGAAGGGACTCTCGATGTTTGGTGATTTTACTAGAAGTAGGAACAACTCTTAATGGTATTCCAAATGTTTTATTTGAAAGAAGTTAAGAAGGCCTCAACAACGATCAAATAACTGGGTAGTCTTTCTGCCCTAATATGGGATACTATCAATGGTTGAGAGGCCCTATCAATCATCTTCAAAGAGAACAAAGATCAGAGTATGTGGTGAATACAATTTGTTGCATCATAGATTTTCTCAACATATGATGACTATTCTTCGTAGAACTCATTCCTAGAAGGGAGGGTAATGTCATGGATATACACATGTAAGCCAATAATTACATGTATAAATAGGAAGAAATAAGTAAAAATAAATAAAAGTAAGTTAATTCTATAATATTTGCTATGGAAGCTTTCTAGAAGCTCTATAGATGCTACTTTGACTTTATAGGTGTCTTTAATTGATTTTTTGGATTAAAAACGTGGTCAATAAGTTGGCCATGTGCCACACTTGTTGTTAGCTTGAAGATCAAGTTAATTATGGGCCCGCATGTAGAAAAACTTGCCTTGTAAGTCAAGGCATGCGTCCTACAAAGTTAACACATATTGGAGGTCCTATAGAACGTCACCACGTAGCCCCTAGTTAGATAGTATATATAGAGACAAGAGTGAAGCCTCCTTCATTCTCGTCAATTCCTTTCTTGCTTCTAGTCTAGTTTCAAGGGTCTCTAGTTTTCTTGGCTTTTGGCAATAGCCATTCTAGTTTCTTTCTTAATATATATATCAAGTTATTTCTATTTTATCATCTTTCTTTGAGAGAAGTCTCACTTTTTTATTTTGCTTTATTAAATTCTTGTCCTTGACATTTTATAACATATAAAAAATATAAATTTCATATTTTTTTATATTTTTAGAATAAATTAAAATATTATCTAAATATTAGACAATAAAATCACGTAAAAATTCTTTAAAAAAAAATAATAATTTGATGTAGAAAAATAATTGATATATTTGTGAGTCTAAAAGGTAAGATATTATATTTAAAATATCTATACCTTGTTAAAAATATGCTTATCTATTCATCTCATTATTTGATGCATATTAGATTATATGGTCCTAATAGATCTATTTTAATATAAATCTTAGCTTAATTAAATTGATTAAAAAGTTTGGATACCAAAGTTAAAAAGATATTATCAAGGATATGAACCTCAATCAAGAAAATACTCAATAAACTCTTGTAACATTCAAAAAGAATAGATATTCACTCAAAGATAATAATATATTAAAATTAGAATGGCTATTGCCAAAGACAAGAAGATTAGACTCTTAAAACAAGATTCAAAACAAAAAAAAAAAAAAAAAATTATTGACAAGAGTAAAGAAGGCTTTATTTATTTCTCCATATATATTACCGAACTAGGAGCTACGTGGCAATGTTCTATATGATCTTTGACATGTGTCCAATTTACAAGATACAAGTCGAATTTGTACAATAAGTTTCTTATATGTACGCCATATGGTTAACTTATAATACAATCTAATAATATATGTGATACATAGTTAACTTGTTATTCAAATTTCTAACCTATCAATCAATTACAAACACATCTAAAGTCAAATTTGTATTTATAAAGTTTTTAATTTATTTAGATTTATCTTTTATTTAATATTTTATCTTAATAAATAAATATATATATATATATATATATATATATATATATATCAATGATATTATCTCCTATTTTAAGAATAAGTTCTACAAAGAGCGATAATTAAATATTAAAAATGTCTAAAATACTACAAATAGTATTTGCTATGTACTTTGATATTTGTTCCATCAAAGGTGGTTGATAGGGCCTTATAGCCATCAACAATAATCATATTATGGCAAGAAGACCATCCTAATATTTTATCATTCTTCAGGCCTTTGTAACTCCCTTCAAATAAAACATTTTGAACATTGTCAATGGTGGTTCCTACTTCTAATAATATTACCAAACATTGAGAGACTCTTCCAAGGTCATGATATCAAACAAGTTATATTTTACTATCTATTTGAAGAAGAACATGTTATTTTTAAGAGTCTTCATCTCTATTTTGTCATCTTGAAGGTTAAGACAATTGCAATGTCTTCTCTGATAATTCAACAAATAATAGTTCTTGAGTTGAATCTATTGATTGATAGTTCTTGATGTCTTTAGTGCCATTCATACTTAGAAACTAAAAACAAGGATTAAAGATAGAATATTATCTTTCTTGAATTATTTTAACTTTTGTCTTAAATAAGTAATATATTAAAAAAAATATCTAAATTATGTATACAAATAAAATTATTGAAAGTATAATTCAAGTTTATATTGATTTATTTTATTCTAAACATGTAAAAAGTATTAGTTGCATGTAATTTTTGTATAATTTTTCATGTATGTCAACAATCTTGTTAAGTATTATAAAAATTATCCAATATTATAAATAAAATTATCTACTAAAGCTTCTCCAAGAATTTCAATCAACATATTCAATTTCAATTGTTATTCCAACTCAATAAGACATTTTGGTAGTTTGCCAATACTCACAAATTCATATTATTGTTAACATTGCTGAATTATGTTGTTGTTTAAAAAATATATAAAAATTAGCAATAAAAACCACCCATCCAACCCTTAAAAATCACTTCATAAATATCCTTTTAAGATAGTATCATCTTCTCTCTTAAACTTAATAACCAATGAATTAATCTATTGACTTCCAAATTATCCAAACTCAAGGACTTGGACCAACCTCAAAACTTCATTACTTTTCTTAAAAACTCTAGCCATTCACCTAAAGTAGGAATATGCGACTAACAAACAAAGACTTGAATGAAGAATAACCGAAAATGAATAAAAACAAAAAGATGGAAAAAAACGGGCAAATTGAACACAGGACATAGTTCGAAAGAAAGGAGCAAAACAAGGGCAGGGACAATACGTGGGATTTTGAATGGCAGGTGGATTGAAGGCTGAGAATGTTTTGGTGAATGTCGTAGTAGATTTTCCATGTTCAGCACTCTTTGAAGTGGAGTTGGTCCTTGAAGCGCAGCGCCTTATTGCTCAAATCCCACGCCGAGGCGTTTGCGCTCACCAGTTTGGTTGAAGCCCGCTGCATCTTTGGATTGCTTTGGGTGACAGATGGCTGCCAGAATCGGAGTTGATGGTGTTGTGGGCTTCTGTGCGTGGTTGCGATTGTTCGTTTGCAAGTGGGAAGGGTAGGGATGTTGCGAAGAGGAGGTAGCGCGTGAAATGGGGCAGGGGTTGGCGGAGGGTGGGGCCTTGGCCGCGGAGCTTTGGGTCGGGAGAAGACGAAGCGCGAGTGAGTGTCGGCGAGTGGTGGAGTCGGAGTCGTGGCAACACAGTGAGTGAGTGATAGGCGAGGCGAGGGAAGCGTGCGGCCGAAGGGGGAGTTGAACCATTGTGGTTGCGAGTGGTGGGGAAGGCCGGTATATGGAGGTGGGGATGAAAAGTTTCTAGCTTGACTATACTTGAACAGGATCTGTTTTACAGTGCGTACATCCGATCTGTGTTCACCGTCGCAGACATGACCTTCTACTTGGACGAAGATGTAGTTCTCTCCGACTTGAGCGAGATTTCCGCGGCTTGTGCCAGTGTGCCCTCTTGCGGGCCCGGTCGCCAGCCAGCTAGATGAATGTCCCGCCCCCTCACTAATGGGGACGGTGATGGACGGAGAGCGTTCTGACGGGCACCGACTGACTCCACAAGGAGTTTATTCGTTTCCTTTTTGTTGAGTGTGCTTTTGGAAGATTAAATCATGTTTTATGCTTGAAAATTTTGAGTGTTCCTTTTGATTATACCAAGTAGGACATAAAAGTCCAACAAACCCTTCATTGAATTATATTTAAAGTGTTTTCTCAGCACCACAATGATTCCCATATCCATTAGTTGCTTCTACAATGCGACATTTAGAAAAATGTGACATAAAGAACTACTTCTTTAATTGTATTTTTCTCAAATGCTTTCTCATGCCCAAGAGTGTTATCCTATACCAAGAGGACTTTCTTGCTTGTTATTTTTCTAATTCTAAGTGCAAAAAAAACATAAAATCACATATTAAATATGGCTTTATCCATCTAAGATTTTTGTGATTGAAGTAAAGAAGTAAAATATGTTCCACAAGGCATGCTAGTGTAGTTGCCTTTCCAATCATTAGGCATAGCAACTTGTGATAACCAAATGTAAAAGTGGAAACAATTAAAGTCAATCCCTCTTTGAATTTCTTTTCATCACAAGTAATTGATTTATCTTTTGTAGAGAGTAGAACAAAGTACTTAGGAATAAGTCTAAAAAATAATCCAATCTTATCCATGTTATAAATATTCTTTGGTTTGTATTCTCTGACAACATCATAAAGATTGTCCAAAGCATCTAATAAATATGGACTATATTTGTTGACTTTAATATCTTTAGCATAAAGAAGCATTAATCTAAGTCCTTTTTAAACTTTAAATCTTAAAAACCATTTCCAACTTCCTATAAAATCATACAATTCCATAATAACCCTAAGATTAATTGCTTTGAAAATTAAAAAGAAAGGTAGCAAATCTACCTTTGATTGTTGAATTGTTGCAATCTACAAACAAAATTATTCATTAAGAGCTTCTGAGTTAGGCTTTCAAAATTCTTTGTATAGCACTTTGAATTTATCAAGAATTAGACAAAATATGTAGTTTTATCTCATGTTTATTTTTCTAAGTATCACAAATAGTCTTTTTGCTTACTCCATTTAATTATGCAAGCAACTACATCAAAGGTGGTTTTGGATTTTCTAAAGAAGTAAATATTTTCATTCTTTTAGTATTTGTCAAGCAAACTCTTTCACCTTTTTCTTTAGAGCAATTGATATTAAAAGACTTAAAAACAAGAAAATTTCAAAAACAATTGCTACTACTACTTCATATTATAAAATTACATAGCACTAAACATGTATTAAACCCTAACAACTACACATTGTTAGAGAGTGCAAGAGGGCCTCTAATTAGCCTTAATTATATGGTCCAAGACATTGTCCCTGATCTTGCCAAAGTAGAACTCACATAAATGTTGCACCACCTCCTTAGCAACAGAGCTATATATTATTTTTTTTACTAACTCAATCGAATATGCTTTGCCAATTTGGACACATTGTGTTGGATAAAACAAGAAGAAAAACCATCAATTCAACAAGTACATTGGCTTTATCTTAATCCATTCTTTCTCACTTTGAGACTTGCATATGATTTGAAATTTGGAACAAGAGGAAGTACTGGACAAGAGCAAATTAAATGTGCACTTTAGAATCATTGATTTTGGAATTTTGGCTTAAGTGTACAACATTTTTCCACTGCCTTAAGCAGTTATTGAAAAGTAGCAGTGATAAGTTGTTAGGACGAATGAGTATATATACATACATGTGTGTATAATTATTTATTTTTTCAGAGATATATATATATGTATGTCTGCCTGCCTGTGTTGTGAAAATAGCTGTACTCATTCCAATGACTGCAGGTCTGTCCAATACAGCCTCATTACTTCAACATTTACTATAAATTGCGTCATTCAACAGAGGTTGTCGAAGGATACCAAAATCTGCTCTCCTTGTGGACGGTACAACGTGGTATTACACCCGCATGCTATTAATCGAACATACTCTCTCAGGAAAAAATGATCGTTCTGTTGATACAGCAGCTGCGCTTTTTAGATATAGAATTCCACCTTTCTTTTCCGTATTGCCACGATGGCTTAAGACCCTCCATGGACACCGAGCTTCGGACGTGGGACAGCACCACGAAGATGGCACAGTCTACAGCTCGACTCATCCACCGCTTCACAAGTTATACGACCGAAGAATTTCACCGATAAGATCGGCTCATTTTTCATACACAACTAGTGTAGCTTCGAGCCACGCACAGTGCAGCTCATTCTTAACGCTCATTACTCGCATGAAATTCACTGAAGCCTGGCGAAAATCGGTCCAGTGATGGAATGGAAGTTGCCTACAGCTCTGCTCCCGTGTATGCCCAGCAGATGATGGCGAAGAGTAGGAAGAAGAGTTGATACAGCTGCTGTGCGGAAGAGAATCTTCGTGTCGACATGTGACTTCCGCTATAGGATATTGTGCTGCACAAAACAGATCGAACACAACATAAGAGACGCGGGTTTTGTGCAAATCAGGGGTCCGACCACAGCAGTATAAGATTTCCCATTACAGAAGAGACATGTGCACATGCGAAAGTGGCATGAATGTGTTGATGAGCTTCAGAGGGTAAAAGTGTGGTGCCGATTCCATCCAAGTGGCCAAAGGTGTCATCGATCGACACCTTGGGCTGGGATGCATTGAATCTTATGATCAGTCTCATAGAGATCTGGCCACAGTTCAGCAAAGTTGGAAGATATGTACCTGGCTGGATACACACAAGAACCGTAGCCTGCACAAAAGAAAGCCACGAAATGAATACAATAAGTGAGCTGAACACATTTGAAGGAAAAGCAAGGGCCTTGGAGATGTTCTTAAATATTATTCAACTTCAACAGCATATATCTGACGTTCGACGAGTAAAGATCAGAATCTAGATAAATTTGCGGTCAAAGTCAGAAGCTCGAGATGATAAGCGCAGCCAACAAAGTTCACCGCAATGAAACGGGTCGTTCCTTTAGTGTGTAGGAATTTGATGGTTTATATAAGCACAACTGAACTTACTTGGGTCCGTGGTTGTGATTCGAGCAGCTCCCTGAAAATTGCAGGCTGAGGTTCCGTTAAAGCTGTTGACATAGACCTGGTTCATTGCGTATGATGCATGGGAGTATCTGGTATCAGGGAGGAAGCAGGTGCCGTTCGGTTGTATGGCTGTGCAATTCACATTTCCCATACCACAAGCGAAGTCTATTGAGATTTGTAAGGCAGTCTCCGATATGCCCTGATGAGTCACGGAACAAAGTCGGATACACGCAACAATCACACAAGGCCGTAAGTCCACACAGAAACGACAGAATCCCGACAAATGGACAACAAGAAAACCTAAATCCTATAAAGACAATGGCAAACGTAGGTGGCCTCCGGGATTTCAACAACCTGTTTCGCAATGCACCAGCTTCGTCGTCCATACCCGTACCCATTACCACCGGAATTACTCCCTCCGAAGTTGATCGCATACACTGGAGTAGAATCAGGGTTGAATAAGCCGAAGTTTCTCTGGGAAGCAGGCCCCACGTTCAAATTCTCGTTGTAAAGCTCATACAAAAAAACGTTGAGCATAGCACCCGGCCGCGCTGGCGTTCCCGTATTGCTCATCACACGTTTCACCAAATTGGCGTTGTAAGTCTGGGCATTTTGAATCGAAGCCCCGGCTTCTCCTGTGTCTCCTGCGGTGGGCCAGCCGGTTTCACTGACTACTACAACTAAGTCGGAGTGATTGGCTTTTGTTAAGGCAGCATGCACCGCATCAACCTGTGCGTCGAACAGATTAGTATAAGTGTAACTTGCTCCAGAGTCGAAAACGCCCGCGTTAGGGTAGAAGAGGGCGTAGTCCAAGGAAATGGCGTCCCGTTGCGCGGTGTACGCTTTCCAGGGGTAGACGTTTACCATGTACGGTGATGATGTGCGAGTGAGAAATTCAAGAAGAACAGGGATATCACTGTAATTGCTACTGAATTTTCCAGATGATGGGAGGTAAGATTGCGCCAGCAGCTCCATAGAGCAAGGAGACGACACCTTGATGCTCTGAAGGTTGTTGGCTGTGAGCGCGTTGTAGATATTGTTCATAGCCGGCACTAGGAGCGATGAGGCGTTCGTGAAGCCGGTCAGAACTTCATTGCCTACTCCAATCGCGAAAATATTCGTGGAGTTAACGTAAGGGAGGATCTTTGAAGCCACCCATGCGGAGGCGGAGGCGTAAGAGGCACCAATGTCGTCGAGCTCACTGTTGAGCAAGCCGATCACTAGCTGGATGTTGGACCCTTGGAAGGCAGCGAGGACGGTGGGGTCGCTGTCGTAGATCCGCACTTGAGACATGCCGAGATTTCTTAGAAGCGAAACGGCTTGTGACGGTGATGGAAGATTGTCGCCGTTTCGGCCGTAATTGAGGCCCACATAGGCTGCTGCATTGAGGAAACAGGATAGTCAACATGAGATTGTTGCCCTCGCGGCGCCTAATATCAGCCGACACGAGACTCTGTCGAATTCATCAACGCTAAGTTTATCTTCTCTCTGGTATCACCAAACGTAGCTGTTCGTAAGGGTTCCCTATCCATGTCGGGGTAGGGATTATGCCATGGTCCGAATAAATCACAATCTCACCAACCCGGTACATGGTCAATTGCAGAAATTGGGAGGGACAAATTTGGACATATATACAAGTAGAGTGAGGGTTTGTGTTCACTGAAAGGTAACTCCATCTGACACAGTGTATTGAAGCACAAGGATGGTGCAATGCGGCGCTAAAGATATGGCATAAATTTTGAAAGATAACTGCAAGCTTTGGGAGGGCTTCAGCGGGCAGTACCTGCGGAAGGGACGAAGCAGATCAAACTGAAAACCAGTAGCCAAGAGCAGCAATGCCCTAATTTCCCCGGCGCCACCATGGAGGAAGTTTTACTAATGCAGAGGACGAAGAGTGTGAATTGTGTAAAGAATTGCTGGTCAAGACGTTTCGTACATCTACAAGGCCGCTTGTGCATTATAAATTGCTATGAGGAAAACTTACTAGTTTAAGTCCGCTGATGGCAGCTCAGAAGAAGTTATGGCATTCTGTTCCAGATTCAGTGCTAGTTTCGTAACGCTAATTACTAAAAATTCCCAGGGAAGTGTAAACAAGGAAAACTGCAATTGGAAGTACCGATGTGTCGGGAATGTGAGGCGTAGAGCGCTTGAAATCTGAGCTTGTTACAAGATCTAGTGAAGAAGATTGCTTCAGCAACAACTAAAGAATACATAACTGAGTTCGAGAGTGGTAAAGCTATTGGATGAAGCATTGAAACAATGCGTAACAAAGAACCATCAAATCCAACCGAACAGTCGAGAGATCTGACGAAACAATCTCAAAGCAGAAGCATGTAAGGATGCAAAAACTACCTGATTATGAATCTTCAGTAGAAAGAAGATCCCGTAGAGGGGACGGGAAACAGAGGAATCGTGGTCATGGACAGTGAACTTGGAACGAGTCTAGACTTGCTCTTGGACTTGGAAATGACACATATACAAAAGAAAGCAGCAAGGATCTAAACTCCACAATTTGCCTCGAAGAGATTTGGGAATGGCCGTTTCAGGCCTCCCCAAACGCGAGAGAACCGACCCAGCAAAAGGCCGCTTGGGGCAGTAGCATATTGCACTGCAATGGTTACCAACCAAGACCCCTGCAGCAAATAATTGATCCCAATCATACACTCGATTTGCTATGCCTCTAACTGAGTCTTCGCTCTAGAGCACAACCGCGGTTAATTGGACACCCACCGTAAGATTCGCCCGATGGCTCTAGGACGGAGATAGCACCAACCAGCCGAACTGCTCACGAGGATGTGAGCGCTTCTGACAACACGACATCACTACGTCAACGAGCCGCCAGCTAAGTAATAGATTCGAAAATGAATCCGCGACCGTTGCGAGGAGTGTCGATGGATCTGAAATTCGTCGCCGAAAAACGGTATTCTGTTGCCATTGTTTGACATTTCACTGGATCTAATGAAAATTGCTTGAAAGCCACCCACATGTAAAGTTTTAAAGGTATTTCAAGAACATAGGCAGTTTTGTGTTAGAATTCAAATTCCTTCTTCTCCCTGCTCCTGATCCTATCCACAGACTCACCACCAGCAGCTAACATTGCCTGCTGATTGTTAAAAGAATATTGTGCTCTAGAGAAAATATTCTTTTTTAACTGCGCCAGAGCTACCAAACAGCTAAACCAGGGATTTTACTTAACGCGGAGGATTACACCACCCGAGGCACGCTTGTCAATTGAGCTTCGCAGTTCGTTGAAAGACCATATTAAGTCAACCGCACTTAATAAAATCGTAACAAATCTAGCAGGAGTTGGACGAGTGCAAAACCAAACGGATGGACCAAGCAGATCATTCTTCTACGAATGTTAGGAGGTTCCATACTCCAAAGCTTGGATATCATTCCGAAGATGGTTGAATCCTCAAAAGGATATATGCGACGTAAAACACAAACTCCAAGTAAAACACTCACGAATAATGACCGCAGTTAAAACTCGGCAATCACGAGAAGATGCTGGCAGCAATCACGCATTCCGCTTAGGCAGACATAGCTACGAAGTTCTCGATTTCATAAATAATGATCTCAATATTAGTTTACAATTCCTCGGTCCAGAGGCCTTCCCAGAGAGCAACCAGACTCAGCCAATATAAATGTTCTAGGGTTCCTCGAGACATGGACACTAAGATGCTGTGCGGCTCCGCTATTAAATTTCATACGACCAACACTTAACGCATCCAGGGCCACGACCACTAACTATGTTCCCAGTTCCCAGTTCCATAGAACTTGACTCACTGCTACATTTTTTCACCGCCTCATTCCACAGACTTCTCCTGTGGCAAGCTCACCCCTCCTCCCCCATCAAATGCTCACACCCCTCTTCTACCCTAATCCTACCTCCACCTATCCTACCGCTACCACTGCTTCCCACTCCACCACCCCTGTTCCCGCCAATCCCTCCTCAAAGAATCATCCTCCACACTCCTCCACACGTCTCATCTCGTATAATCCCTTCCGAGATCCACCCCGTTCTGCAAACCCTAAACCTCCCCGCATCCCAACTCCTCTTCTTCGCTCGCTCTCCGGAAGTCGCCCATCCTCATCCCACTCCATCGCAACCCAGTTGCCCCACCCGATCTCACAATCACCCGCAAAAATATATCAATTTCTCCCCGATCCCCCCTCCCCCTTCCTGCGCCACCTCCGCTCCTCATATCGGTAAGTATCTCTTCGTCAGCTGCTTCCCCGCCACCAGCCCCGCCGCCGCGATGCCTCCCAGCGCTCCTGCGATCGCCGCCGTCCGCGGTCCCGCTGCTGCCTTGTACATCACCCCCGTCCCCAGCCCCGCGATCACCGTGTTCAGCATGTCGTCCGTCGCCCTGTAATGAGACGCCGTGCTCTCGAACCCCGCGTACATCAGCCCCAAGATCCCCACCGTGTTTCCATACGCGCGCCCCCTGTGCCCCGACGCATTCAAAAACCTATTCACCCTGATCTTCATCGTGTCGCTCCCTTCCTGCGATCGCAACCCCTCCAACGCGCCCTTCGCACCGCCGCCCACCGCGCCCGCCAAGTAACCGCATCCCGTGTGGTACGTCAGGTTCTCGCTCCAATTCCGCCTCTGCACCACCGCCTCGTCGGGGAACAGATACTCCGGCGCCGAAGGCAGTCGGTACACGCTCTCCAAGCTCTTCAAATCGGCCGCGCCATACAAATCCGCGTATGGATTGTACAGTCGCCCCTGCCCCTGCCCCTCTTCACCGAACACGGCCCCGCTCTGCGAATCCTGCCTGTCGTCGTTCATCGTCGCTCGCCAACTTCACTCCCACCCAAAGCAACAACACTACCCGCGCCAGCTACTCCTCCGATTGGTGAGACCCTCAGAGAAAGCTTGGTAACGGCCTCAAATTCACGTCTAGTCAATTGTTGAGCAACTGCAACAGCAAGAGTAGTGGAAAATTGCGCAACCAGGGTTATGAAAACCCCTAATGGTGAGTGTGAGCCAATACAGGCTTGGAGGACCCAAGTGGAATGCATGCTAGTGGTGATGGAAGCGAATCCGTGGCTTCTAGAATGGTCTCGTCGTGGTCTGCCCCTTCGATCACCTCCGACCTCTCTTTCATTCAAAGGGGACGGTCGCTACAGCTGCACGACGATGTTCTATTTTTAAGCATTTACATGTTGGCTTCATTTCACTCGTATCTGACGGCTAGGTTAGCGAAGTGAGATGTGATTAATCTAATTGGTGGGTAGTCTAATCATTTATGATCTAAGAAATCTAACATTATAAATAAAATAATAATAAATGAACATCTATGGCATGGAATAGCTTCATTGTAGTTTGTACAAATAAGATTGTTGCAAGAAAGTATTGTGATAACAATCTTGATATAATTACTGTAAATAATTCAAATATTTTTGCACATTACCAAGCCATGTCATTTGTAGCTGTACAATTTTGAAGTTAGCTTTTTTTGCAAAACGTAAGTACAATACCACTTTTCCAAAAGTAACAATGAGAATGAATTGTTTTAAAATCAGATAAAATAATACTTTTTCTTTCTTTCTTTTTTATCAAATTTGAGTTACTTATTTGAAAATGAGTATTAATGCAAATAATATAATGTGTATTTCTTTAAGTATAAACATGTATTAATGGCATCAAAATAATAATAATAAAATAATAAAACCATACCAATTTTATATTCTGGATTGCCCAAATGAGTAAATGTTGTGATGCTTTTGCTTATTTAGAAAGAAAAAAAAAATGTGTAGCATGAAAAAAGATTTCTATTTATTTATTTGCTTTGAAGATACAACTCAATGTACAAGTCACTAATTTAACACAAAGAAAGTGAAAAGAGACTAATAATGCTAGCAATTAACAAGTTAATTTTAAAATATGTCAAAATATTTTAAAATTTACATACCTCACATAAGAAAAGATTCAACAATAGAATATATAGGAATCCACAAGGCCTTAAGTCTACATCTACTAATATTTTACAAGAAAAAAAAGAAAAAAAATGTAAATATATAAATATTAATATTCAAACTTTGAGCTAAATATATTTATTTTTTTATATTTAATACAAATATATCGATTTTTGTTTGAAGTCTTGTAATTTATGTAGAATCAAACCTAGAAGACAAGTTATGTACGACATGCTGTGTAACATATGTACTATACCAATAAAAATTTAAGATAATATATGTCTATATATAGATACATTCAAGCCCTTATTTGCTAGAAGATAAAATGATATTCTGTCACACTCAAATAAGATGATTAATCGATCAAGAATCAATCCTTATAACATCGAGCAGAGAATGAATCAACACATGTAATTACTAAGTTGCTTTTGAAGCAAGAAATTTCATTACATATCTAATTGTCTTGAATTTCATCAATAAATATTCAATCAGAATAAATGAAACTATTTGATTCTATAAATGTTGTCTGAGAATGAATTATGAGGACAATAGTTACTCCCAAAATCGGTAATTGAATGCTATTTGATTTAGAAATATATATGTTTTCAACATTGATGTGTTGAATCTTATACATATTCATGAACTCTAAATTATTGATTAAAAGCACACAATATTATTTATAGTTTAAATTTAATACATACATATATGAATTTAACCATACAATAACATTATTCAATACATTTCATCACTATCTGCCTTTCAAATATTTAGTAAATATTATTATATGTTTTTATTTAAAATATTTTATGTATTTTTTTTATTTATTTCCAAAATTCACTGCTATGAAGCTTTAGAATTTGTTTTTGTTACAAAACTGAATCCTAAATAAAAAAAATTGTATTTTTTTATATGTACTTGGTTAAAATCAATCAATTTGTTTGTTTATTTTTTATTTTTTTATTTTCATAGTTCTTACAATATTTTAAAAATATTTCAGATAAGTGTGACAATCTAATTTTTTTCTAAATGAAACATCTAGATAAAATTTGAAAATATGAGATTTATTTGAAATACACATTACATATTTTATTTATTGGTTATTTGAGTTATATAAGTTACTTAAGGGTTAAGAATTCCAAAAATGAGTTAATAATTATGGAAGGACCACTTAATGACAAAAAAGAAGAAGCTACATTTTAATTTTAATAAGATACAATCATTACCATATTAATCTTCAAAAGAAGTAATGAACTAATTATTTCTATTCTTGTCACACGAGAGATTGATTGCTATATTTGTGTTGATTATAAATAACACCACATATTCTGTGAAATGTAATGAATTTATTAATCATCCTTGCAGTTAAAATTAAAAAATTCATTATTGCAACAACAAAAATCATATACTGAGATATCTAACTGAGAGGTTTTATAGATCTACAACAAATGTGCAATTTACTAATTCACAGTAAGGAGATATTCAGTTCATTTATTTATGTATCTGAAGTAAGTTTATATGTAAAGAAGTGTCCTATGCTAAAAACTCCACTGGTTATTAATTACTACCAAATATAAAGTTTGAAGTTACTAAAATGAAAAGACAGAAACAATTGTTGCAACTCCCACGTGTGAACACGAAGAGACTTGGAGTTTCCTCCACTGCAAATCTCATCATAAGGTTCACTACGTCCGGAGGCACTTTTAGGGTTTCTGTGTTTGCCGGTGCTTCCGGCAATCGGTGCAACTCCCATCGGATCACTGAGGGTCTGACCGATCGGAGAAGTAGCATGCGCGGCCTTGGTGCATTGTGGTAGTGTTGTTGCTTTGGGTGGGAGTGAAGTTGGCGAGCGACGATGAACGACGACAGGCAGGATTCGCAGAGCGGGGCCGTGTTCGGTGAAGAGGGGCAGGGGCAGGGGCGACTGTACAATCCATACGCGGATTTGTATGGCGCGGCCGATTTGAAGAGCTTGGAGAGCGTGTACCGACTGCCTTCGGCGCCGGAGTATCTGTTCCCCGACGAGGCGGTGGTGCAGAGGCGGAATTGGAGCGAGAACCTGACGTACCACACGGGATGCGGTTACTTGGCGGGCGCGGTGGGCGGCGGTGCGAAGGGCGCGTTGGAGGGGTTGCGATCGCAGGAAGGGAGCGACACGATGAAGATCAGGGTGAATAGGTTTTTGAATGCGTCGGGGCACAGGGGGCGCGCGTATGGAAACACGGTGGGGATCTTGGGGCTGATGTACGCGGGGTTCGAGAGCACGGCGTCTCATTACAGGGCGACGGACGACATGCTGAACACGGTGATCGCGGGGCTGGGGACGGGGGTGATGTACAAGGCAGCAGCGGGACCGCGGACGGCGGCGATCGCAGGAGCGCTGGGAGGCATCGCGGCGGCGGGGCTGGTGGCGGGGAAGCAGCTGACGAAGAGATACTTACCGATATGAGGAGCGGAGGTGGCGCAGGAAGGGGGAGGGGGGATCGGGGAGAAATTGATATATTTTTGCGGGTGATTGTGAGATCGGGTGGGGCAACTGGGTTGCGATGGAGTGGGATGAGGATGGGCGACTTCCGGAGAGCGAGCGAAGAAGAGGAGTTGGGATGCGGGGAGGTTTAGGGTTTGCAGAACGGGGTGGATCTCGGAAGGGATTATACGAGATGAGACGTGTGGAGGAGTGTGGAGGATGATTCTTTGATGAGGGATTGGCGGGAGCAGGGGTGATGGAGTGGGAAGCAGTGGTAGCGGTAGGATAGGTGGAGGTAGGATTAGGGTAGAAGAGGGGTGTGAGCATTTGATGGGGGAGGAGGGGTGAGCTTGCCACAGGAGAAGTCTGTGGAATGAGGCGATGGGAAATTGTAACAATGTGTTAGATTCCAAGTCCTATGGAATATGATCTCACAATGCTTCTTGCCTCGTGAACAAACCCTTCGATTATGTACTTGTTTGCACCCGTTTGACTTTGTGTTGGTGGTACAAATCCATGTGGACAAGCATTTTTAATGCTGTGTTCTTCATGTCTGCTAGTGATCTTCGATTGGCGGGCAGTTGATCTCGGATAATCAAGGAATGCTACGAAGGCATAGTGAGTTTCAAATTTGGAATGCCGGGAGCTTTCAATTATTCTAATATTCAGGTTTAGTCGTTTTCGTTTTTTACTTCTTTGGTTTGGATCAATGGTTTCTTGTGTCTAAAAACTCGATGGCCAGTCAGCCATTTTCAACAAGGGTACAGAGACAGTGTTATTGGTTCATAGTGGTTGATTATTTTGACATTCATGCCTTTCTTTCATCTAATTTTGAATATCTTGTGTTTTGGTTCTTTGTCCAAATCATTAAACCTCAGAGACAATTCTCAACTTCAGTTTCAATTTGATATATATATATATATATATTTATATGTGTGTGTGTGTGTGTATATATAACATCCTCTTTTGCTCCAAATGATTTCAAATACTAAAGCGATTTTATGGAAAAAATGGACTACGATGAGACTGCTTGGATATTTGCTTTTCAAATGGATAGAGATAGTGAAACGATCTGGCAAATCTGAACGTGAGTTTAATTGGGATTGACACAGCCTAATAGATGACGCTGGTAAATTACAAGTCTACACCTCATCACCTCAAAGGCATGCTCTTATAGACTGACATGTTTACTGCAGACCTTACGGCGTGGGTGTGACGGAAAAGAAGGGTTGTAAGTCTGGCCAGCGTGCCTTGGATGGAGACTTGATTTCGGCACTTAGTTTCTCCATGAAAACGCTGACCATTGGAATTGAATAACTTTGTACTGAATTCACGACCAGAATTCATGGACGTTTCTCAATAATCATCAATACCGAATATTAAGAGATGATTTTAAATCCTGTTCTGGGATTCCTGTTTCCTACTGTTATCCTGACTACAACCGGCAGAACCAAGCCACACCAGTGACACTACTTAATACAGAATCCACGCATCAAGTTCCTAGCAAAAACCTACTCTGCAATCTGCAGCTTGACCGAAGATTTTCGTGTCTTATCTGTCCACTACGTTTCACATTGTCCACCGAATTTCGGAATAGGACAAAGAATTACTCCGCTTTCACACGACGACGACGACTGTGAAAGAGCTGGTACGTGGTGTTGATTGGCTAGATCGCAGCTCAACCATCCAAGTATCTTTGCACCATAATTCCAATAATCCAAACCACTGTGATGCTCTTCTCCTGCGCGTCAGAGTGTTTGAAAATCCCACAAACGGTGACACGATTGTAAAATCCCTAAATTTCTGCTTACTAACTGCCTCTATCAAAATTCGATCAACTGCAGTGCCGCCTGTCCCATTCCTTAACGGCGACAAGCGGAACTTAGAGTTGACGGGATAGATTTCGGTACCTGAATGAGCTTGTGGCGAGCAATACCGAAATCTACCCCGTCAACTTCATTCTCTCCGCCCGCACACGACCTAATGTTTACAGACGAATCCGCAATACAAAGAATATAAATGCATGCTCGGAAGCTCGTCTGATTCCTGTATTGCATCAGGATTGCTTCGGGCTTAAATACCCGCCCGTGGAAGTCATAGTACCTATCATGGCTAACCCGTCCAGACGACCGGCCCTTCTTAGGTGATGACCGAACAAGTATCTGCCCGGGGCTTGTTCGTGAATGGGTGTTTAGGCTACTGACAATAGTATTTCAAGAAGTTGAATGCTTAACGCAGGAGGCAGCGGCGGGAGAACCGCATCAGTTTGCATGCTTACGTGCATATCTTTTGGCAACATTCCAAGGTATCTGCTGCTGATTTGGGCTGTGAAGGAAGATGCTTCCACGTCGTCGCTCTGAATTGTGGCGCTGGCCCGTTTTACTAGGCTTTTTCATGAGAAAACCGACTCCTGGGAAAAGAATGCCGTGTGCTTTGGATGTTCTTGGAAGAAGAGCAAGGGTTAGGTGTTTTTATCTTACGGCTGCCGCTCCATTTTGGTCTATGAGAGCAAATTGGGGGTATTGGGAGTGTGGTGTTGCCATTTCTTAGTGTCTTCCTTGTTGATGATTTTTTGTAGTTAAGTTGTTGTTTGAAGATTGCAGCAGGTTGTAGTTAGACTTTTAGAATAAGGCTTTGTATATGTGAGTGAGTTTACTCCACGTTTTATCAATTCTGGCTGTGACTTGTCGTGTGTCTAATCAGGGAGACATTTTGTTTTGCAAGTCTGCGACTAAGTGTTGCTATCTTCGCAGCAGTGGCGAATTTCTGGGATGTGCAATTTTCAGCGTGTGAATAATTGCTTGCAAGTTTGGGGATGGAGAGTTGGAGATTTTCAGGTGAAGAGCAGTTAATTAGCAATCCAGTGGACAAATTTCATAACTCTTCAATGCACAGCTTGAAAGGTATGAGCTTCTGAAAAATTTCATCAAATTTTTATTCTATTTAACTGAGGGGCAATTGAAAAACAGTAGTTATGGATGGTGCAATGGACATCCCACGGAAAGGTTTTGGATGGGAAGAGAGCCGGCGAGACCATTCTAAACATCGAGGAACAGAAGACAGAAGGCGGGAGCGTGATGCTAGAGAGCGGCGATTCGAAAAGGAGGGCAGAGCGCCACAACGAGATCACGTATACGAGAAACGGAGTAGTCAAGAACGATTGGGGACAGGAGATCGAAAAGAAAGGGGGAGAGACTGCAAGCGCCGCAAGAGGGCCACACCCCCTGGCGTTAACAAAGACAGGCGTCAAAGCCCTTTTCCTCGACGATCTCCCCCATATAAACGCCGCTGGGATGTGCTTGAAGGTAGTCGCAAGAAAAACCTTGAAGATGATGGTGGTCGAGGACTAGCAAATGACAGCAGGTAACGCGAAGCTAATTTCAAGAATTACTGATACCTTTCTTGAGCTCTTCAGATTCACTCCTGGATAGTCCTCTTCTTCATGACACCATGTTCGAAAAAGACAGTCTTGTTATTTTATGGCACGTGTGATGTCATTATCAGCAGGATCTCATTATTTGCATTTGAATAGTCAGAAAGAAAGCTCTGGGTTGGTATTTTAACGGTATATATCTGAATGAGAGTTTGAAGACCACGTCTGCTCTTGCCATTTCCCATTTTCTCATGTACCAAAAACTACGAGACTCATGTAGGCAGTGAGGTATGATATCTCGATTTCGCGTATTTCTATATTGCAGGGTTTTCCTCGTCGTTTCCAGTGGTGAGCATTGACTTTGGCCATCTTTAGGGGTGTGTTATGCGTTATATTTAGCTGCTTTGCAATAGCATGAGCATCTTTGCAGATTATCACAGTGTTGTACATTTTCGAGCCGTAATTGACCTTGATGATATGACCAAATAGAAATTTATATTATATTACTCAAAATGATTTTCTGTTTACCCATCCCTTAGCCTCTGTTAAAACCAATCAATGTCGTTTTAGATTATCACGTGTAGGAGATATTTCACTTACAAGTTGGAGAATTGAATTGAAGAATATTCTCCTGGTGGCCGTGAGGCTAATTTCATATTGTCTCTGATTGCAGGCTTGAAGGATTTGGCGGGGCGGGGTTATTCTTGTCAGGAAAAATGAAAAGTCGAAGTAGTTGTAATTGTGCAAAACTTCAAGGTCAGTGTGGCGTGTTTTTTCTTTTCAAATTGAGTGCTAGGGTAGAAGAGTGACATTCCGAAGAAATTCATGTTGCGGTTTCTTGCTTACAATGAGCAACACCAAGTGACATAGCATATGGTTGAACATTGAGGATGTTCAGGTTTCAGCATCGGACCGTATCCCTCAATTTCTTACGATGACTCTTCTGCTCCACAAAAGTATGTTTCATGTACCAGCCTTCAACATTTTTGTGTATACTTTCCCGATCAAGCACTTCCAGTGTTGAACCATGTTCTGTCCAACATGCATGTCCGTGGATATCCCAAATATGAAATGATACTTTTGCTTTTCCTTGCCTCTAATAACGCAGTCCGCTAGAAGGTTCATGAATATGATGCGGCAATTGAGCCAGCAACTGTCCAAGAGAATTCAGTGCTTCGCACATGTCGTTCGTCGATTCTACTTCAATACATGTTTCATCATATACATATTTTATTGTGTCTGACCCAGAACCTGTGCAGTGGAGGTTTGTTGACATACAAACAGTTAATTTTGGAGCTAGAAGATGATATATTACCAGGAGATGCGCAGCGTAGGTAAATGTTAGTCTCAAATACCTATTCTTTGTCACTTGGTACAATGGAAAGAATAGTTGTTTCCAGTGTACAAAAATCTTATTGATTTTTGTAATCACCCCGTGCTTATGATTGGTGAAATAATCATATAAGTTTCCTCGTATTGTTACGTAGTTCCACAAAGTTTTGAAACTTAAATTGCCCAGCTTAAGCATCACGAAAAGATATTCCTTCCAATGTTAAGCCAATTCTTTTCATTAGACCTTTTTATATTTCTGAGCACATACAAGAATTTCGTGTGTAGGACTGTTAATTAATTTTGCAATCATCTCAATTTCGATCAGTTGGTTAGCAGATATGAATCTTACAAGAAAGAATACATCATAACTCAGAAGCTGGCTTTCTTCAAGAAGCACAAAGATGATGATTGGTAGGGTTTCGACATTTTTAATAACAGTGTTCACATTCCATTTATAACCTAAGGTGCTTTGGTACTTAATTGTGGGTTGGTATGGATGCAAGTTGTTTTGCATGCCGATTAAAAGGAAGAATGTCCAGGTTGCGGGAAAAGTACGACCCAGCAAGGCTTGAGGCTGTCCTTGCAAGGTGACCAATCACTACGAATGTCTCTTCAATCGACATTGAATTTCGAAATTAGCCTGGTTGTAAACCTAGTGTGTCTGGAAGTTGCATGTTGGAATGAAGAAGGTTGTTACGGTCTTTTGGTTGTTGGGTGAACAGGAGGAATGAGAGAGCCAAAATTCTAGCAAAAGAGTTGCTATCAGAGCTTCAAGCTGGCTTCCTTGAATCGTAAGTTCTGGGTAATGATATCTAAGATGCATATTATTTTTTTCAACCAAATGTGCGTGTAATCAGTGTTGACCTAGTGTCCATGTAAGTATTTTTTGTCATGAATTAAAAAAATAAACCATTTTACACACTACGGTACGTTCTATATCCTCAAGAGGCGTATGACATGCAGAGGTCCTAGCATGGAAACCCCAACCAACAAGGTGCCTGAAAGTGACTCAGGGTATGAAGTAAAGAAGAGAAAGTCCCTCCGACTACATTCTAGAGCTCAAAAAAATAATGTTGCTCCGACAGAATGTCCAGGATGTTCTGAACCGAGAAGAGTCATTATTGATATTGAGCTAGCGAGGTCTCTCATAAAGAAGTTGGATGCTGAGAAAGGAATCGGCGATAACATTTTATTGGCAGATGAAAATTCTGAAGGTGATGTGACTGAGGTAGGGTCAACGGCGACAACGAGATCTTTTAAACAGGTTAAGGATTTAGAGGATGTTGAACTTTCGGAGGTGATGCGTACATATCTGTGGCGTGTTCATTTTCTGGACTATTATGGCATGATTGAATACAAGGAACAGCCAAAGAAGTTTCGGATCATAACATCTACGGAATCCAAAAGCAAAGGAGGTTCCAATAGCAACATAGAGGAGAGCATGTTCGCAGAGTGGGATAAGAAATTAGAGACTACCTGGCAAGCTAGGCTTCAGAGTGGTGATCTCATAGAATTTATGCTTGGTAAAGAATCACTGCAGTCCACAGGTAGTGATGCTTTGGACACTTTTGTGCGTAAAATTCGGGATGAGAAATATGGTTGGAAGTATGGGTGTGGTGCTAAAGGATGTACCAAATTTTTTTTAATTGACCAGAATTTGTTCATAAGCATCTGAAGTTGAAGCACCCTGACTTGATGACTGACGCAATTGTCAAGGCTCGAGAGGAATTGTACTTTCAAAATTATATGAGGTGAATGAACTACCTTTCATGACAATCAGTAACATCATTTTTTTCAATGCATGATGGTTTACGTTGGTAATTGCTTGAATAATCAATGAGGAATATAAGGCCCCTCCGCCCCCCACTTTTTATTTTTATTTTTATTTTTATTTTTTTATTTTTATAATACTAATTTTAGAAAATTGAATGGATCTCGACTTGAAGGGTTGAGGAACATATGTTATAGCTGTTCAACAAAGGGAGAAGAGATAATCAGGAAACCTCACATGGTTGTTACGTCGTTTTGTGTGTTTTTTCTCGACTGTGACCAAATTGAATTGCAGGGATGTAGATGCTGTAGGATCTGATCAAACCACCTTCACACATTTGCAACAGGTACGTAAATGTTCGAAATTCCAAATTTCATATCTGGAATTACAACAAACCAAAACTTATTTCAAGCAACTCTTGTTGGAAGCAATTAAGCCCATTCAGTGGGTTGGATAAGTTCAATGATTCCTGTGTTGCGGTCATCCGGGAGGTTGTGCAGCTCTTTTTGTATCACAAAACCCTGAGTCATGAGTCAAGTTGAAAAAGGCCAATTGAATATGTAGGATATCTTATTAACATACTGATGAATGGTTTGGTTATTGCTGTATAAATTACAGAATTCTGGTGGCAAAAGTCGTGAACATCGTCGACCTAGTATCTTTGGGCCTTCAATTGATGATGTTGTAGATCAAAAAAATTCTGACAAGCAGCGTCCAAGTACGGAGGTCCATCAATCTCGTGACACTAAGTTTATTCCACGCACTGACGAGGTATTTGAAGAATGCTCGAAGGTCAGAGATGACGAACAATTTGAGCGTGATGGTCTGGAAAAATCACAATTTTACAGAGAAAAATCAGAACATTCTTCGCCGCCTCGTGTTTTTCTTCCTCTCAGAACTGCAAGACCATCTCTCTTCGGTGGAAGACATCTGGGAAGTTGCTTTGAGCGTGTATCAATGGAGCCTCTTATGTTCGATCACTTCAGCGATTCTCCATTTCACGGTTTGCCAGGCGATCTGATTGTACCTGATATTCCTTGTCCACCCCAGGTGCTGATGCCTGTCCCTGGTGCTGGGTAAGTCATTGACCTTTCTTCCATACGCTAGTAATGCATGCTTGATTGGACTGCACGTTTGTTTACACAAGTTTGTATTGAGATCACATTCAACTGGCAAGGTAGCTTAGATTGATCACGGTTGCCAGCCATGAGATTATGCTATTCTTATTAATTCTCTGTAGCTGCAGTCCATTGGGTCCGTTTGTACCAGCTCCTCCTGGAATAACAATGAGGTTTCTGATCGAGGGCCCTGGTCCTTCTCATTGTGATTTTGAGCGGAGTTTTGTGGACGACAATAACCGATGGCCAAGGGATCGTAACAGACCAACACCAGGTCCTAGGTTGGGTGGTGGTCTGTCGGATTTCCCTTCTATGATGATTCCTCCTCATGGCTCACACTATGATCCTCGTGGTATTCAAAGGTGCACTCCTAAAGTCTCTACCCTACACATTTCAACTCGGGGGTACAGTATGGGAAGGTATAAAAGCGGTATGAAATCAATGACATGGCGAATCTGTGCAAATAGCGGTACAACCTTTCTTCCGTCAGAGGTATCCATTGAGCTAACGGTTGTGTTGTGATCCATGCAGTTACCATGACCTTGACACTCCCAGAGATGAAGTCACGGTGATTGATTACAGAACTTTATGAGCCATTTTGTCGCAGAGTAAGCTAACCCCAATCAATAACTCAACTGACACTCTCTTGGGTAATGATTTAAAAGACGTGACGAGAGGGTTAAATTGTTGATTTATCGTTGGAATCATTGAACCAATCCATTTTTTGTGAAGTCAGGTTACCCCATTTTGATCATCCCAATGGTGGCACGTTTGTGTGCGGCACGGCATCGACCTCTTGCTTTTATCACCAGTTAACTCAAAACATCTGCACGTTTAATGCTTGACTCTGAGAAGCTTGGTAATAAACTTGCATTCAAGCTTGTAGTTTCAGAAGCTCTCTAAACGCATCAAAGAACAATTACATGAAATATCAAATAAGGTAGTAAATATGGTTATAACTCTCAACTCATACCTTTCAAAAACTGCATTGAACTATACGTCCCAAAAACCTCTTTGACTGCCTACTTAACCTTTACCAGAAGTTGTGTATTTTTTTAATTGTATTTTGGACAAGCCAAATTAATTTTGCATGTTTTTTTTTTTTTTTTTTTTTTTTTTTTTGAATGCAAATATTTCGAAGACTAAAAAAGCTATTTTAGTAATATTATGTGTACACACATCTTATAAAATTATATATAATTTTATAAGAATAAATTAGATTTTAAATCTTATAGATGAATATTTCATTTTTAAATAATTCTCTGTATTCAAAGCATTTTCAATTAATTTTAAAATTTAATTCAAATTCTTATTTAAAAAATCTCTATAAAAATAATTATAAGAATAAATATACATATTCATAATAATAATAATTTTCAAAGATTTGAGATTTTTTTTGACATAGTTTTATATTTCATTAAAGCATGTCATATAAAAAATAACAAAATTGAAAAGAATTGAATAGAATTAAAAAGAAACAAAAAGAAAATTAGTTAAAATAAATAGTTAAATAAAATTCTCAGAGATAATTTTTATATCGATATTTATTTTGGTCAAGCAAAGAAATGATTTTGAAAATATTTGATTTTAATTTTGATAATAAATAAATAAATAAATAAATAAATATTTTAAGAATATCAGACAATAATTTGACATAACAAGTTTTCAATTTATATATGTGCATTTTTACCTCATATTTAGATAGAAATATGTTGATGTTGGAGTTCATGACAATTAAGCTGCAACAAAGAAAGCCTAAGATCCTTCTTCTGCAACTTCCTAAATCATCTAAAGCCTCCTAGAACCTTCTACGATCTCCTAAGACCTTCTAGAACTTTCTTAGAATCTACTAGAATTTTTTGGAACCTTCTTAGAACCTACTGGAGCCTTTTAAAATCTTCTAAGATCTATAAGAACCTTTTTAGAACCTTCTAGAACCTTCTTCAATTGTATGTCTATAACATCACCTCCTCTTCTAGCTTTGATGTTTTCGAGAAGTAATGTTGTTTCAAGTCAATATATGCGCAAGAAGTTGAAGATCTATTGCATAGTGACTGCTATATATTCTAGTTGTTTTTTGTGAGGCAAATGATTTATAGGCCCTTATAGCCATTGATAGTATCCCAAGTCTTCTACTTATTACTAAGCATGAACTTTGATATCTTTGTTATAGAATTGTCCTACAAATATTCTTTCTGGGCATCCTTCATAGGCAGGTTCTATCTCAAACACAATTACCAGCAACCTATTATTGAGTATCCTTCAACGTCTTTGCGGTTTAGGCAATTCTTCATTTTGGGATTGTCTCCATGAGTTACTTGGTTGAGATGGTATGACTAGCAGGGTATCTATCTCTTGACTATTCATATCACATAAAGTAGACAAGATCAAAAGAATATAAATATGCTATAGTCGTGAATTCAAACTATTGACTTATACTATTTTAAAAATTTGAAAAAATTGCCTCTTTAGAAGTTATCTCTTCTCCTTCATTATAAGGCGAAGAATTAAGAATCTTCATAGTGAAGCCATCTTACCAAGCTACTGTTTTTCATTTCACCGCTTTTGGTCTAAATAGATGTCATTGATGGAACTTTTGAACCTTCATTTTTGCATTTACAAGGTTGCCAGTTAGTTCCTACTTGCAATCATTAATATCATATCTGTGCCAATGGACTAAATATTCAAGCCTTTCGTATCTTATCATTGAATATAATACCTCTTCTATCTTAAATTCAACTTGATCATTAATTTCAACTATAAGAAGTAGTGGTTCTCTTCGACTTGTTATATTTGATTTTTTATACCTTTTCAAAAATAAAACATAAAAAAGTGGATGAATTTTCTTGGATGAAGATAATTCTAAGTAATAAGTTACGTTATTGATTTGTTTTCAAATCACAAATGGTTCCAACCTTTGGTAGTCCAACTTATCATATGGCCTATTGGTTTTTATATTGTGTCGAAGAAGCCATACTTTGTTACGAACTTGGAATGGAGGATGTTCATTCTTTAATTCATCTGCTACTAGCTTATAACATTGTTGAGCCCTTTTTAGGAGAGTCTTCATGGTTGCTTGAAGTTCGGCCATCTTCGTAACAAATTCCTCTACTACTCAATTTGCCAACTTTGAAGGCTCTATCATATCCAACTATGGATGGTGACCGTACTTTGAGTAAAATAACATTTATTGCATAGATGCATGGATTGTATTGTTATGTGCAAACTTTATTAATAATAAGTAGGAAGTTATGTTGTCTTATTGATAGTTGATGGTGCACCTCAAATATTACTCAAAAATTTGGTTGACCCACTTTGTTTGGCCATTAGTTTGAGGGTAGAAGGTAGAAGAATGATTGATGTCAATCTTAAGAATCTTAAAGAATGCCTTCTAAAAGCTTGATACAAATTATGACCCACGATTCGATACAATGTTATTTGGCAACTTGTGGTAATAATAGATATTATTAATAAAGAGTCTTGCCCTTTTTTTACCAATAATTGACTTCTTGAAAGATATAAAATGTACCATTTTGGTCAATCAAACAACAACTACAAAGATAGTATCAAATGAGCTTAATGGTAAAAGATTTGTAATGAAATCCATGGAGATATATGACCATAATTGTCTTGGAATAGGAAGGGGTTGAAGAAGTCCATATGATCGAAGTCAAGGATTCTTTGATTTTGAACAAGTATCACATGATAGTACAAATTCCTTAATGTCTTTCCACATTTTAGGCTATCAAAAGTCTCTAGACAAAAGTCCTAAGGTCTTATTGAATCCAAAATGTTTGACTGCAGGGAAGTCATGGCATGTTTGAAGAATGCGCAAGCGAGTTGGCTCTTCAAGAACGAACAAACGTTCTTCAAAGAATAAGATGTTGTCTTAAATCTTGAATTTAGAAGACTCTTCAAGAAGGTTGTTGGCAAGACACTTAATATTAAGAATAAGAAGGTCCATGGTTGAGGCTTTATGAACCTGATGAAGAAATGATAAATCCACATATATTGATATATTGATTGCTAGAAGATGAAATTGCTCAGGCTTTAACAAGGTTGCCTGTTATTGATTATATGTTGCCTTATCTTCATTTACTTCAAGGTAAGAATGTTGTCGTAATATGTGAAGTGTTGCTTGAGAGTACACTAGGCACTTGGCTGTGGAAGGTAGAATGGAAATTGTAATAACAAAATTTTAATTCTAATAGAATACTAAATAAATTCTAATTAAATCTTAATAATGCTAAATAAGCTTTAATTAAATTAAAAAAAACCTTAAAGAAATTATAAAGAAATAATAAAAAATCTTAAAGGAGTTGAAAGATAATCCTTAATAAACCTTAAAAGAATCCTTAAAAAGCCCAAATGGAAGAAAAATCCTAAAATCTACTCAGATGTTGGCCGACCTCATTCTCTGACCTTGATGCTAATCTTCTAATACTAATATCTCTTCTTTGTACTATTAAATTGATTTAAAATTTTTCATATATGTAGAAAAAAAAGTCTACTATCCATACATATAACTTTCACTTCAATCCAACTAGTAGATTGCAAGAAATCTTAGAAATCCTCATTGGACCTAAAATTCTATTTTTTGAGGCCCCAACCCACTTAAACTTCAATAATTCGGAATTCAATTATTAGATCAAGCTAAAACTCTCAACATATATTAAGTGCAACTATAAACATTGATCTACAAAATTTTATTTATAAATCTACTTCAAAACTCCTGAAACTGCGTAAAATGTCAATATTCTTTTATTTCACAAAAATTTGAGTCATCCAAAACAAACTTAACTTTATGAGGCTCTTATAAAGTCATTAAAAATCCAAATTACATAAAATTAATGCTTATAAAAATCCTATCAAATTTGCTATCAAGTTCTATTCTTTGATTTCCAAAAGAACCTTGGAGTTGTTGTAAGTATGCAATTTTGTACCTTGATTGACAACAAGTCTTTGAAATCTTGTACTCGATTTTGTCCTTCATCAAAAAAAATATCTTCATCTTATTTTTAAAATAAATTGATTCATTTTCTTGCTATAAGTATCTTCAATTATGTACATTAAGTTCTTATAATAAGTATGTTCCATTGTTGTATGCCTTTTTAATAATATAAGGCCCAAACCATCTCTTTGCAAACTTCTATCATGGACATACTTATGTAAACGAGTAATTACATATATAAATAGGTAGAAGTAAGTAAAATTAGATAAAAGTAAGTTAATTCTATAGTATTTGATATGAAAGCTTCCTAGAAGCTTCATAGATGTTGTTTTGACTTTATAGGTCTCTTTAATTGACTTTTTGAATTAGAAACGTGGTCAACAAGTTGGCCATGTGCCACACATGTTATTAACTTGAAGACCAAGCTAACTATGTGGCCCACACGTAGAAAAACTTGCCTTGTAAGTCAAGGCATGTGTCCTACAAAGTCATCACTTATTGGAGGTCTTATAGAACATCGCCACGTAGCCTTAAGTTAGATAGTATATATAGAGACAAGAGTGAAGCCTTCTTCACTCTTGTCAATTCCTTTCTTGCTTCCAATCTAGATTCAAGGGTCTCTAATTTTCTTGTCTTTTGGCAATAGCCATTCCAATATCTTTTTCAATACACATATCAAGTTATTTCTATTTTTTTGTCTTTCTTTGAAAGAAGTCTTACTTATTTATTTGTCTTTATTATATTCTTGTCCTTGACAGATTGACAAGAGTGCACCTATAATATCAAAGCTTCGTCTAATCTTCATTAAGAGTGGATTATCCATTTTTCTTGATAAGATATAAGTATCTTAGAAGTTATGGATTACCCTCTTCTAAACTGATATTGTCCTTAGTATTTTCTTTGTTCTCAAGTCCTCTCTTCTATTTGTCTTGAGCTATATTAGACATCTTCTCTTTTCTAAGTGTTATCATGGTAGAACTTATTGAAATGAAGAGTGCAATGGCACAAATGCAAG